ATTTTTTTTACAATCCGCTCTGTTGAACTTGATCTACACGTTCTTAAACCCAAACGCATCAATTTTGGGGTGAACCCGTCATGTTTTGACACTTTATCCACTTGTTGTAATTTTAACGGTTTCGAATGAATAGAACTTTTTGCACGGCTCAACGAATGGTCAAAACATAACGGGAAGGTAAATGGGTATTTTTTTTTCCAGATTTCCGCCTCTTAAATCTTTCATATTTTCAAATCAGCCCCCTAAATCACTTAAGTAAGTATTTAGTTCTAACATTCTTATAAAACTAGTATTAATCTTGTGCTAAGCATGACCTAGTATTTTGTTTTGCACATCTAATCAGGATTGGTCATGTGTCATTAAGTTTGTTGTATTTTTTACTCTATCAGGATTGAAACAATCAAATAATATTATACAAGAAACATCAAATGGTATAAGCAAGTTGACGACTGACAAAATTTTACTTTATCAAGTTTGAAACAATCAAATAATAAGAACAACTTTAACCAAAACTTACTGTAGAATAAATATAGCTACCAAGTTTCAAAAATTCACTGTGGTACAACAGTATTTTAAAGTTCAAATTTATTGTAGAACGAATAACATTTTAATAACTTAAAATTTTACTGTAACATGAATAGTGTTTTACTATAGAATTAACAGTTATTTTAACGCCTCGTTTGGTACGCGGGAATGGACAAACTTGGGAATGGAATGGAAGAAGGAATGGAATGGATTGCATGTGGGAATGGAATGCTCATTCTCATTCTCTTGTTTGGGTGCGTTCGTAGAATGAAGCTAGAATGAAAATCTCATTCCCATTCCCATGTTTGGTATCACTAGTACACAAGTGAGAATGAAATCTCATTTTCTAATAATGCCCTTACAACAACATAGATTTTTAATAAGATAAAAAATAAACATTAATGATAATAACTAAATAATTTTATATACGCATATGTTATACTAATCTAGGTATGTGTTATACTAATGCTCGTGTTATCCATCAGGTGTATGTTTCGTTTATATTTTTTAAACAATACTCGCTATTTCTTAATCTTAAAAATTAAAGAAAAATAAAAAAAAAGATTATCGTATCTTTCATAGGTCTAAAAAAAAAGAATGATATCCACAATCCACAGTTCTAGATATATAAATTAACTTATTTGATAAAGTATCAAAATCACTCAATTCATAATAGAAAAAATCCATAAAACAATACCAACTAAAATAATAAGTTTCGAAATAGCAAAATGATATACTAGCCTAAATTGTCAATCTAAAATTGCCCACTTGCATAGCGCCTCACCCAAACATTCTTTATTATTAATATGGATATAATTGAAAAATACCTAACTAGTTTTTTATTCTCACTTGAATGGGAATGACCATTCATTTTCTTCTCACTTGGAATGCTTATTCCCACAAATAGTGGGAATGATCATTCCTAGGGAATGGTCATTCCAACATCTAAAATATAGGTGTGTTTGGTATGAGGGAATGGGAAGTGGGAATTGCATTCCATTCCTCCTCATTCCCGCGTATCAAGTTTGAAACAATCAAATAATAAGAACAACTTTAACCAAAACTTACTGTAGAATAAATATAGCTACCAAGTTTCAAAAATTCACTGTGGTACAACAGTATTTTAAAGTTCAAATTTATTGTAGAACGAATAACATTTTAATAACTTAAAATTTTACTGTAACATGAATAGTGTTTTACTATAGAATTAACAGTTATTTTAAGGTTCTGCTTTAAGTTAAAAGTAGTAGATATAGCATGTTTGTTTTTTCCCCATCCAATTCCTAAACTTTGTTCAGGTTACAGATTGGCCTATCCACAATATATTACCGTTTCACCCTCAATTTACCCATTGCTTCCTAAATCATTTCATTGGCTTTATTCAGATGAAACAATTAGGGCTTGTTCAGTAAATTTTATAAAACTAAACTGGTCTAGGATTGATTCTGGTCCAATTTTATCTTATTAAACTGATTAGTATTGCTCCAAAGGGGCGGTTTGGAAAAGAATTAGTTTTTAGCTGATTTTGCCTAGAAAACACTAGCTCGATTCTGGTTATGTTTTACGGACAAATTTTCAAAACCGACCCATTTGGGTTTTTAATTACAAAAAACGACTCATTTTAATTTTAATTATAAAAACCGACCCAGTTGGTTGAAACTGAGTCGGTTTTTAAATTTTTTTTTCCCAAACTTCACGGGAGTTCAACTCCCGTGAAGTTTTGTTATGAGAAAAAAATTCACGGGAGTTCAACTCTATCAAGATATCCGTTGAACTCAGCCAAGCAAAAAATCTGTAAGCAGCTCACGTGCTTGTAGCCCCACGTTCACACACACACACATATATATATATATATATATATATGAGTTTTTTTTTCCAGATATCCGTCTCTTAAATCTTTCATATTTTCATATCAGACCCCTAAATCACTTAAGTATGTATTTAGTTCTAACATTCTTATAAAACTAGTATTAATCTTGTACTAAGCATGACCTAGTATTTTGTTTTGCACATCTAATCAGGATTGGTCTTGTGTCGTTAAGTTTGTTGTATTTTTTACTCTATCAAGATTGAAACAACCAAATAATATTATACAACAAACATCAAATGGTATAAGCAAGTTGACGACTGACAAAATTTTACTTTATCAAGTTTGAAACAATCAAATAATAATAACAACTTTAACCAAAACTTACTGTAGAATAAATATTGCTATCAAGTTTCAAAATTTCACTATGGTACAACAGTATTTTAAAGTTCAAATTTACTGTAGAACGCATAATATTTTAATGATTTATAATTTTACTGAAACATAATATAAGGTTCTGCTTTAAGTTAAAAGTAGTAGATATAGCATGTTTGTTTTTTCCCCATCCAATTCCTAAACTTTGTTCAGGTTACAGATTGGCCTATCCACAATATATTACCGTTTCACCCTCAATTTACCCATTGCTTCCTAAATCATTTCATTGGCTTTATTCAGATGAAACAATTAGGGCTTGTTCAGTAAATTTTATACAACTAAACTGGTCTAGGATTGATTCTGGTCCAATTTTATCTTAAACTGATTAGTATTGCTCCAGAGGGGCGGTTTGGAAAAGAATTAGTTTTTAGCTGATTTTGCCTAGAAAACACTAGCTCGATTCTGGTTATGTTTTACGGACAAATTTTCAAAACCGACCCATTTGGGTTTTTAATTGCAAAAAACGACTCATTTTAATTTTAATTATAAAAACCGACCCAGTTGGTTGAAACTGGGTCAGTTTTTAAATTTTTTTTCCCCAAACTTCACGGGAGTTCAACTCCCGTGAAGTTTTGTTATGAGAAAAAACTTCACGGGAGTTCAACTCCCGTGAAGTTTCCCGAAAAAATTTAAAAAAACCGAGCTGTTTTCAGCCCCTGGCTGAAAACAGGTCGGTTTTTGTAAATATTTTCAAAACCGGTCGTTTTTTGCAATTAAAAACCCAAATGGGTCGGTTTTGAAAATTTGTCCTATGTTTTACCCAATCACAAAATAAGCAAAAATTGAATCAGAATAGATCAATGCTCGTAAAAAAATGTTGCTAGATTTTGGGTGATAGTGATCAAAGTGCATTGTTTGCTAAAAAATAATAATGGCTACATGGCATCCAATAGACACAAAAACTCACAACAAAAATGTGAACAATGGTACAATATCCATACGTTAAGAATTTGTTAGGAAGGTGGGAATACAATTATGCAATGCTTCATAATTCCAAAAGAAGAAAA